GGAGATGTCATGTCTGAGGGCAATGTGTGGTGTGAATATAATGCAGAGAATTCGTAGTTTGGAAGTTATGAGGAGGTGCGGGATTACCAAAACTGTTGTCCAGATGGCTGAGGAAGGGTTGTTGAGGTGGTTTGGACATGTAGAGAGAATGGAGCGAAACAGAATGACTTCAAGAGTGTATCAGTCTGTAGTGGAAGGAAGGCAGGGTAGGGGTCGGCCTAGGAAAGGTTGGAGGGAGGGGGTAAAGGAGGTTTTGTGTGCGAGGGGCTTGGACTTCCAGCAGGCATGCGTGAGCGTGTTTGATAGGAGTGAATGGAGACAAATGGTTTTTAATACTTGACGTGCTGTTGGAGTGTTAGCAAAGTAACATTTATGAAGGGGTTCAGGGAAACCGGCAGGCCGGACTTGAGTCCTGGAGATGGGAAGTACATTGCCTGCACTCTGAAGGAGGGGTGTTAATGTTGCAGTTTAAAAACTGTAGTGTAAAACACCCTTCTGGCAAGACAGTGATGGAGTGAATAATGGTGAAAGTTTTTCTTTTTCAGGCCACCCTGCCTTGGTGGGAATCGGCCAGTGTGATGATAAAAAATAATAATTATCTCTTACTGTTATTATTTTTATATTTTCTATGACTGTGAACATAAAGCACTATATATCCCTCCTTTTATTACCTCATTCCACTATAAGTTACTTCATTAGCTACATTATTTTCTTCACTTTATGCAAGTTCTCTATTACATGATGCGCAATATACATTTATGTGGAGAACCGGTTTGCTAAATGTACTTTAAATTCATATTATGTATGTGGAATTAATTGGTCACACTACACATGTATGTACAAGCATATATATACACACACCTCTCTGGGTTTTCTTGTTTTCTTACTAGTTCTTGTTTTTGTTTATTTCCTCTGGGAAAGTGGAACAGAATTCTTCCTCCGTAAGCCATGCATGTCGTAAAAGGCAACTAAAATGCTGAGAGCAAGGGGCTAGTAACCCCTTCCCCTGCATATGTTACAAAATTCTTAAAGAGAAACTTTCGTTTTTCTTTTTGAGCCACCCTGCCTCGGTGGGATACGGCCAGTTTGTCGAAAGATTTAATATTTTGGAATAACTGAATAAAATATTAACCCTGATCTAATAAATGACTAAAAATATAATATTAGAATTTCTTTTAATTTGTTGAACTCTGCAAAATAAAATCAGTAGCCACATCAATTTTTTTTTTTTTTTTAACAATTCGGCCATCTCCCACTGACCTCGTCACTGTTCACTTATTTACACTTTAATAATCCCACCGAGTGATTATTATTGTATTCACGGGGACACACTAAACTTGTTGGAATCATACAATGCCTGGTAAATAGGAGGCAGTTAGGCTTGATCCAAGGAAGGGAAGGGTAGCTCCAATTCTTTGGGCTGAGAGCCCTTCACCATCATAAAGAATCCACCCTTGAAGAGGCCATTTAGCAAGTACTGTCCCTGGAAATGCCTTCATCAATGGCAGGGTTACGTCTATCTTGCTATTAGGCAATATCTCACCAAACACCATAAAATAGCCAACTCTCAAGGACCTATATCTCACCAACCACTGCAGGACAAAATTCTCAAGAACCAGCAATTGTCAAGGATGGTAATTTAAAATTCAACACCTACACTCAGCACATAACCAAGGTCTTCAAAACAGTGGGTATCCTCTCTAGGATACGTTACTACATACCTCAGAACAATATACTCTGTACTATCAAATCTATCTTTACATCACCTATGGAATTTGTGCCTTGGGATCTACTGCAGCAAATCACATAAAGCCAATAACCCAACAAAGAGCTGCTGTATGAATGATCTCTCAAACAAGTGCTATACAACATATGCCCTCACTTTCAAAAGTTTAAACTTATTCAACATACAAATCATTCACTCTTACCACTATGTGTACTATATACACTGTATAGCTGTAGCAGAATTCATAGGTACAAGATTCAAATACCTCTTTGATATCCCCTGTGTACTATTCAACCCGAGTAAAAACTCTATGAATAAAAAAAGGCCCCAAAATTTGGATCTCTCTGCCTGAAGATTCCTAAGGTTCCATCCCTGACAACAGCTTTAAAGCTACTGCTAAAATGCACCTGCTTACCTTAACCCTTTCAGGGTTTCTGACGTACTAATGTCTAGCATGCCAGGGTTATTGACGTGCTACTACGTGTAAATTCTAGCGCCTTCAAATCTAGCGAGAGAAAGCTGGTAGGCCTACATATGAAATAATGGGTCTATGTGGTCAGTGTGCACAGTACAAAAAAAATCCTGCAGCACAGTGCATAATGAGAAAAAAAAAACTCCGACCGTGTTTTTGGTTTAAAACAGTGACTTTGCAGTGTATTTTTGTATGGTATTTATGGTTGTATTCTAGTTTTCCTGGTCTCATTTTGTAGAATGGAAGACATTACAGAAATTAAGATGATTTTGATTGGTTTCACAATGAAAAGTACCTTGAAATTGAGCTCAAAGTAGCAGAAATGTTCGATTTTTGCCAAAGTTCAAAAGTAAAATCATGCCACGCGTCCAATACACGTCAACTGGCGAGTCTAATATTCCTTCATAAGTGTGCTGATATTATTTATACCATTTCTACACTAATGCAGTGGTCTGCATAACAATAAATCTATTTTTTGTGAGAAAAATTCAAAGTGGAAAGCAAAAGAAATGTAAGAGGGGCCTGGAGACGTGACTAATGAACAAAGAAAATGTTATTTTAGTGCCAGGAATGTCTGTCTTGTTTATTCTGGACCCTATTTGGAAATTGGCATCTTTTGAAATTTGTGTGAAATTGGCAAAATTGCCAATTTCTGACCACTTTATTGGATAGTTGAAATTGGTAAATGGGTGGTTTCTTGTATTCATTCGATAGAAAAAACAGAGTTCTAGCGAAATTGTTTATGATTTTTGTCGACTAGTACACTGGAATTGGCCAAAAATAGGGCTCAAAGTGGGCAAAATCGCCGATGCGTAAACATCGTCGAGACCGCTAACTTCGCGAGAGCATATTATTATTATAATCAAAAGAAGCGCTAAGCCACAAGGGCTATACAGCTCGCGAGAGCATAATTCCGTAAGTTTTCCATCAAATTTCATACTTTTGGTGTCATTATGATCGGAGAAAGATTCTCTATCATTTCATAAGAAAAAAATTTGTTTTTTTCCGAAAAATTTTCAACCCCGAGAATATGTTTAAGAGAGGGCCTCTCAACCCGGAAAGGGTTAAAGTGATTCATGACATCAAGATACTATATCAAACAAATCTTGAAATCTGCTTGTCATCCATTACTCCATCCTCCTGTACTTCTTGTATTTTCATTTTTTCTTCTACTCCCATATATTTATTACATGGTGCAATCCATTCTTTCAGATACAAGGTGTTTTACTAAAAATTTTATATAGTATTATTCTTGACCATAACTCTCTATATCCATGTCTGCAGAAACAATATTCAGTGCACTTGTATGTCATTATATTTTACTGCAACTTAATAGTACCACTCGTCCTTTGATAACCAGACATTTATAACTTATTTTAAATTACAAATTATCTTCTAACCTATCTCTCTTTCAAGTTCCATGTATTGAACCCTTTAAACAAACAAACAAAAAAAAATACTATGCACATTTTAAGACTAAATTATGTTTTGCCCAAAATGCTGTAATGACATGGGCCTTCAGATTACTATTTTTTTTTTTAACACTGGTTGTTTCCCACCAAGGCAGGGTGACCTGAAAAAGAAGAAACAAAAGTTTTTCTCCTTTTTACATTTAGTAATTTATACAGGAGGGGTTACTAGCCCCTTTCTCCCTATGTTTCTATGTTTTTATGTACAGCAATTTTGAAATAAAGACTAACTTGTAACCTGATTACTCCGAATAACCTTCATTAACCCTAATAATTTGCAATACAGTACTGTGCACAATTTGGGACATTTGGGTCAGAAAAATCAAGTGTTCAGAAAGGAAGACTACTGAACTGTAATGATCGACTGTACTACCTTGAGTTTTTCAATTCTCAGCTCTCAAGTAGGGCATAATATAACCTATTCCTAGATAAATCAGTAATACCTGCAAAAAGCTTTCTCACCCATGTGATACTTCAGGATGGAAAGAAAACATAATACACTTTTAATATATTCTTGAATCTTGAAAGATTACATTTTATCATCTGTACATTTTTTACATATAAAGTACCAAAAATAATCAATGCTTTATTAATAGTTTTTTATGGTAAAATCTGCTTATATATATATCTTTAGGACATCAATTAACGATTTCCACTGAGGTGGGAAATGCATACCCTTTTCAATAAATCATTAAATTTCCAGTACTGATATTACAAACATTTATTATGACAAAAACTATTTAACAATGATTGTATTCACATTCAAAAGAAACATGAAGTATCTTAAAATTAAGCAACATATACACTATACATTAAAGCAAAAAAATATTACCTTGTCATATATATAAAACTATGTACATTTAAGTAGGATGGTACAGTAATAGAATACTGAATTGGACATCTGTGAAGTACAGGAACAGCTAGAAAATATATAAATATATTAACTTTAGTAATAATTTTTATCAGGAATGTTTGTACCATTGGCACCTGAAAGTGAGATTCCAAGTTGAGAATACAATATACACAATAGACAATAGTAACTGGTAAGTTATGCATAAACACAAGCCTCATGACTCCACACTCCTAAGGAAGCTGTGTATCAACTCCTCCATCTGTTCTTCTAAAACTAGTATAAGAGGGTAGGAGACATGACATACTAGCTATCTGGAACTGGAATGGTATGTAAATAATGGTATGGTGGTGTACACGACTCACATACAGTGGATACTTTAATTTATGACAGTGTTATGCCCACACAGTGGACTTATAATCAAGATTTTATAAAGCCCACTGAGCAGGTGAAACAATCCTTAATTAAGGTATCCACTGCATCTAAGTGTCCTTTACTCCATACTAGCTACCTGCTGGGTATTACACCTGAGAGGCACCAAATATCTTGTTATCTGTTCTGACTTGGCACTTCTTCTAGCTTCTTCCACACCACCTGTCAAAACAAAGGTTATATATTTAGTTACAAATTATTTATCATCAAATAGTATTTACAATATATTTAAAATCTTTTAAATAAATTAATGTAAGATACTTCACAAATGCAATACATACCAAATAATGATTTCATACTAAAATGTATGTGCCACAAAGAATCATGCCTCAGAATCAGTCTACTAATCTCAGTGACAAAGGAGATTTCATGTACCACTAACACTGGAATACTATACTATATAAACCTGGCAGAACCCAGATAAACACCATACCGAAACCAAAGCTTGCGCATCCTCACTTCACAGAAACATTCATCTTTGGCACTCAACCCTGTGAATCTTCACAGCACTATTATCTTCATTACTTAGTCTTGTGCATTTTCATTATATAACATCATTTGTAGGTAGTAGGTTGGTAGACAGCAACCACCCAGGGAAGTACTACCGTCCTGCCAAATGACTGTGAAACAAAAACCTGTAACTGTTTTGCATGATGGTAGGATTGCTGGTTTCTTTTTCTGTCTCATAAACACGCTAGATAACAGGGATATCTTGCTTCTCCTACTTACACTTTGGTCACACTTCACAGACACGCACATGCATATATATATATACATACATCTAGGTTTTTCTCCTTTTTCTAAATAGCTCTTGTTCTTTTTTATTTCTTCTATTGTCCATGGGGAAGTGGAAAAGAATCTTTCCTCCGTAAGCCATGCGTGTCGTATGAGGCGACTAAAATGCCGGGAGCAATGGGCTAGTAAACCCCTTCTCCTGTATACATTTACTAAAAAAGAGAAGAAGAAAAACTTTATAAAACTGGGATGCTTAAATGTGCGTGGATGTAGTGCGGATGACAAGAAACAGATGATTGCTGATGTTATGAATGAAAAGAAGTTGGATGTCCTGGCTCTAAGCGAAACAAAGCTGAAGGGGGTAGGAGAGTTTCAGTGGGGGGAAATAAATGGATTAAATCTGGAGTACTGAGAGAGTTAGAGCAAGGAAGGGGTAGCAGTAATGTTAAAATGATCAGTTATGGAAGGAGAAAAGAGAATATGAATGTGTAAATTCAAGAATTATGTGGATTAAAGTAAAGGTTGGATGCGAGAAGTGGGTCATAATAAGCGTGTATGCACCTGGAGAAGAGAGGAATGCAGAGGAGAGAGAGAGATTTTGGGAGATGTTAAGTGAATGTATAGGAGCCTTTGAACCAAGTGAGAGAGTAATTGTGGTAGGGGACCTGAATGCTAAAGTAGGAGAAACTTTTAGAGAGGGTGTGGTAGGTAAGTTTGGGGTGCCAGGTGTAAATGATAATGGGAGACCTTTGATTGAACTTTGTATAGAAAGGGGTTTAGTTATAGGTAATACATATTTTAAGAAAAAGAGGATAAATAAGTATACACGATATGATGTAGGGCGAAATGACAGTAGTTTTGTTGGATTATGTATTGGTAGATAAAAAGACTGTTGAGTAGACTTCAGATGTACATGTTTATAGAGGGGCCACAGATATATCAGATCACTTTCTAGTTGTAGCTACACTGAGAGTAAAAGGTAGATGGGATACAAGGAGAAATAGACGCATCAGGGAAGAGAGAGGTTAAGGTTTATAAACTAAAAGAGGAGGCAGTTAGGGTAAGATATAAACAGCTATTGGAGGATAGATGGGCTAATGAGAGCATAGGCAATGGGGTCGAAGAGGTATGGGTAGGTTTAAAAATGTAGTGTTAGAGTGTTCAGCAGAAGTTTGTGGTTACAGGAAAGTGGGTGCAGGAGGGAAGAGGAGCGATTGGTGGAGTGATGATGTAAAGAGAGTAGTAAGGGAGAAAAAGTTAGCATATGAGAAGTTTTTACAAAGTAGAAGTGATGCAAGGAGGGAAGAGTATATGGAGAAAAAGAGAGAGGTTAAGAGAGTGGTGAAGCAATGTAAAAAGAGAGCAAATGAGAGAGTGGGTGAGATGTTATCAACAAATTTTGTTGAAAATAAGAAAAAGTTTTGGAGTGAGATTAACAAGTTAAGAAAGCCTAGAGAACAAATGGATTTGTCAGTTAAAAATAGGAGAGGAGAGTTATTAAATGGAGAGTTAGAGGTATTGGGAAGATGGAGGGAATATTTTGAGGAATTGTTAAATGTTGATGAAGATAGGGAAGCTGTGATTTCGTGTATAGGGCAAGGAGGAATAACATCTTGTAGGAGTGAGGAAGAGCCAGTTGTGAGTGTGGGGGAAGTTCGTGAGGCAGTAGGTAAAATGAAAGGGGTAAGGCAGCCGGGATTGATGGGATAAAGATAGAAATGTTAAAAGCAGGTGGGGATATAGTTTTGGAGTGGTTGGTGCAATTATTTAATAAATGTATGGAAGAGGGTAAGGTACCTAGGGATTGGCAGAGAGCATGCATAGTTCCTTTGTATAAAGGCAAAGGGGATAAAAGAGAGTGCAAAAATTATAGGGGGATAAGTCTGTTGAGTGTACCTGGTAAAGTGTATGGTAGAGTTATAATTGAAAGAATTAAGAGTAAGACGGAGAATAGGATAGCAGATGAACAAGGAGGCTTTAGGAAAGGTAGGGGGTGTGTGGACCAGGTGTTTACAGTGAAACATATAAGTGAACAGTATTTAGATAAGGCTAAAGAGGTCTTTGTGGCATTTATGGATTTGGAAAAGGCATATGACAGGGTGGATAGGGGGGCAATGTGGCAGATGTTGCAAGTGTATGGTGTAGGAGGTAGGTTACTGAAAGCAGTGAAGAGTTTTTACGAGGATAGTGAGGCTCAAGTTAGAGTATGTAGGAAAGAGGGAAATTTTTTCCCAGTAAAAGTAGGCCTTAGACAAGGATGTGTGATGTCACCGTGGTTGTTTAATATATTTATAGATGGGGTTGTAAGAGAAGTAAATGCGAGGGTCTTGGCAAGAGGCGTGGAGTTAAAAGATAAAGAATCACACACAAAGTGGGAGTTGTCACAGCTGCTCTTTGCTGATGACACTGTGCTCTTGGGAGATTCTGAAAGAAGCTGCAGAGATTGGTGGATGAATTTGGTAGGGTGTGCAAAAGAAGAAAATTAAAGGTGAATACAGGAAAGAGTAAGGTTATGAGGATAACAAAAAGATTAGGTGATGAAAGATTGAATATCAGATTGGAGGGAGAGAGTATGGAGGAGGTGAACGTATTCAGATATTTGGGAGTGGAAGTGTCAGCGGATGGGTCTATGAAAGATGAGGTGAATCATAGAATTGATGAGGGAAAAGAGTGAGTGGTGCACTTAGGAGTCTGTGGAGACAAAGAACTTTGTCCTTGGAGGCAAAGAGGGGAATGTATGAGAGTATAGTTTTACCAACGCTCTTATATGGGTGTGAAGCGTGGGTGATGAAAAGTTGCAGCGAGGAGAAGGCTGGAGGCAGTGGAGATGTCATGTCTGAGGGCAATGTGTGGTGTGAATATAATGCAGAGAATTCGTAGTTTGGAAGTTTTGGAGGAGGTGCGGGATTACCAAAACTGTTGTCAGAGGGCTGAGGAAGGGTTGTTGAGGTGGTTCGGACATGTAAGAGAATGGAGCGAAACAGAATGACTTCAAGAGTGTATCAGTCTGTAGTGGAAGGAAGGCGGGTAGGGGTCGGCCTAGGAAGGGTTGGAGGGAGGGGGTAAAGGAGGTTTTGTGTGCGAGGGGCTTGGACTTCCAGCAGGCATGCGTGAGCGTGTTTGATAGGAGTGAATGGAGACAAATGGTTTTTAATACTTGACGTGCTGTTGGAGTGTGAGCAAAGTAACATTTATGAAGGGATTCAGGGAAACCGGCAGGCCGGACTTGAGTCCTGGAGATGGGAAGTACAGTGCCTGCACTCTGAAGGAGGGGTGTTAATGTTGCAGTTTAAAAACTGTAGTGTAAAGCACCCTTCTGGCAAGACAGTGATGGAGTGAATGATGGTGAAAGTTTTTCTTTTTCGGGCCACCCTGCCTTGGTGGGAATCGGCCAGTGTGATAATAATAAATAAAACATCATTTGCCGTCACATGACCCTGAAAATTTTTACTTCACAGCACCATACTATATATACAGTACATTTTATCTATCAACTAATTGCCTGTATTCCCATTACAAAAGCAACACCTAATGATAAATTTTCACATGTGGTCAGACGAATCTCTTTAAACCGTGCTAGTTGGCACTGCCACCAATGTTTTACATGTGCACCATATTTAACCACTCTTCTCACTTCATGCTCCAATTTAACCATACATTCTCTTGTCAAAGTAGTCAATAATTCTTTCAAGCTAGCATAATTTTTTAATGTGAAAATACTGTATTGTTGCAAACTTACATTACACATTTGTCTGAGAAGTGCCTTTTCTCCATCAGCCAGTGCTGCATCTTGTGGAGTGAGATGAGCACCAGAGCCTTGCTGAGTTTGTGGAGGAGGTCCTTGAGAAGGAGGAGGTCCTAAAGGAGCATGTGAAGCTCCTTCAAGTTGTTCCTGCACCTCTAATACTCTCATAGCCGCTGCAACAGATGTTGGACGAGACACCAATGGAGGTGGTGGCCCATCAAGGAGGTCATCATCACTTTCAGCAGAACCTGCAGAGTAAATTAAAAACATTACTTACTGCTCAAGCATAGGTGTAGTAAATATGAACCATCTCTGAAAACACAATGATAGTATGAATGATGGTGAAAGAGTTTTCAGGTGTTAAAAAAAAATTGTATTTAATCAGGTTATTAACTGTAGAAGCTAGATCCTAAAGCTATCCAACACAATGACTGACCTTAAGACAAATACACACTACATCTGAAATGATTTTAGTTACAGAATTTTACCTTTTCTAGATGAAACCTGAGGGAATTACAAACCAAGGAAAGCTTTTGTTGACACAAATATAAGTTCCTCTTGGGGCTGAAACTCAACTAAGACCATATAAAACATTACTGTATGAGGCCCTATGAAATGTACAGCCACACTTCATTCATCTGAATGCTGTGTACTCCTTTTGTACAGATGTGAAAAATATCTTTCTGCAAATAATGTCCGAGATAAAAACACAGATAAAACAACGTAACACCTCTAAATTTTATAAATATATAACTTCACTTTCTAACAGCATAGTTCCTAGAAAAAAAAGATCCCTGAGACTTTGAATTCAACCACAATATTTACAACAAAGAATCTTGCAAAACAAATTTTTTTTTTTTTAACCTTTAAACTGTCCATACGTAGATCTACAGTCACGTGCGTAGCGCTCCGAACGTAGATCTACGTTTTATTTTACATGCTTTCAACCTTGGCACGATAGCCATGAGTTGCCTAGACATGAGCAAATGGGTCTGTGCACTCAGTGTGTGCAGTATGACAAAATCTGGGGATGCCGGGAAAAATGCGCTCTTCATTGTAAACAAAAAAAAAAAAAAAATCCCAAAATATTCAGAGCACTATGCAAGTGTATGTAGATCTATGTTTAGACAGTTTAAGGGTTAATCTCCCACCAAGACATGGAGGCCCAAAGAAGATAACACATTCATCATCATGCCTTCAATCACTTTGTCAGAAGTGTGCTGACATCATAATTCCGATTACCCTAAGATTGCAACATCCCTACACCACTTTCAGAGTGCAGGCACTGCTCTTCTCACCTCCAGGCCTCAAATCTGGTTAACTGGTTTCCCTGAATCCCTTCATAAAAATAACCTTGCTCACACTCCAACAGCATGTCCATTAAAGACCATCTGCCTCCATTCACTCCTATGTAACACACAAACATAGGCCTGCTGGATGATCGAGCCCCTAAAACATTTGCAATGCCTCCTGCACCCCCTCCCTCAAACCATTCCTGGGACAATGCCTAGCCCTCCTACCTTCCACCAGATACATATATATCCTCTGTCATTCTATCCCTCTCCATCCTCTCTACATGTCTAAACCACCTTAATAACCCTTCCTCCACCTTTTGAATTATACCCATGGTGAGCCCACATTGCCTTTTAATTTCTAGGCTTTGAGTTCTCTGCACGATATTCACACCACAGTCATAAAGTCATAATGAATGCATGGAGACACCAAGCTGTTTTGGGCATCAGAATAGAGATAAGGCTGTTAGGAGTGCATGGAGATGCCCAGGTAGATTCATGCATCAAGACAGAGATAATCATTATGAACGCAAGAAGACATCCAGGCTATTTCACGCATTTGCTCCATCCACAGCACATTTTACTCGAGTTCTCATGGCTTAGATTGCAACGATGACATTCTAAGAAAGTGATTATTGAAAAAAATACTTTGAACCATGCATAAAGATGATCAAAATCATTAACAATTATGCCATCACAATGCAACTCAAATTTTAACTTTCCCTATGTGGAAAAACTCCAACAAGAATTCTGCAAATTATGACATAGAAAAAGATCAAATACTTTAATATGATCTTACAAATCATACCTGGTCCTAATGGAGTTCTACTTGTCAGCCCTAACCCAACAGCTCTTAGATGATGTGAAAGGGAATATGGAGGTGGTTGAAGAGGTCGAGATCCCAAAGACTTTTCTTTAGAAAGGTTCTGCAATCCAACATGCAAGTCTACAACTTCAATACCCTCTCCTTCAGGATGTATACGGTCAAGCTTGGAGAGTTCTTCTCCAAGTTGCTGCTTCTCTGTCTCTAGCATCATCACACGGGCTTCTAATGATCTTATATACGATAATACTTGTTCTGTAAAATAGAAACAAGATATTTTAAATATATAATCTACCATTGGTAAAAAAAAAAATATATTAAAAGATGGGGTGGTAGGGGAAGTGGAATATTCAAACGGCTACAGGAAGAAATCCAAATATTCTTCCTTGAAGCCTTTTTATCCACTTCTCCGAGGCTATGGGTCCCACAATTTACACCAGAGGTGGACCCCATCTTATCTACCATTCTATATTAAAAATATGTGTGGGGCCAAAAACCAGTCAAGAAAACTGCTTGCCATATAAACAATGTCCTCAACTGTGACAGGCTTTTGTCTATGCAGAAATGCATTTAATTTTTCTTTATTTTTTCAGGCTAAGGAGGCATATAATTTGTGATAAGTACCTTGTTCCTGTATGTTGTGCCAGTTATATGTATATCTATATTTGTGATTTATTTATGACAGCACACCACCAATTAATTCCATGAATTTGAAGGTGGTTTATAGATCGATTATCAGTGATAGTGGTTGAGCATATTCTAGCTTTCAAGCAACATTAGGATTACAGTGAATTCACTTCACATTCTCATACAGTTACTCTGGAATGCAGGCTCTTGTAGTTCTCCAGCAGTAGATCATGTTACTACAGAATGAAACTTCCTGGGACATAGTCAGTTATAGTTTCTAGGCTAATGAGGCAAAATTCATGACCATTATACCATCACAAATCTTTATCCCAGTAAAGGCAAGAATAATATTTTTATTTTGTTTACCCATAACAAGTTCTAAGGCCTCTTCTATCACTGCAGCCTAGCCTGAGGCCAGGCTTCCATGCTGACTGCCTGGTCAACCAGACTTTTTGGGCCTATGGGCTGCTAGCACAGTTTGATTGACCAAGTGGTTAAGAGAAAAACCAGACCTCAGGCCAGTGCAGGGGTAGGAGAGCTCCCGAAAATGGTCACAGGTAAACAGATAAAGGAAGCAAAAATGCTGTTCTTGCCCTAACTGGGATAAAGGTCTTTGACGGTCCAAAGATCATGCATCATTCCTCTTAAGGTCTAGAACCGTAACTGACAATGTCCCAGGGTCCTGTTGTCCTAGACAACACAAGTCAATGAGAAGCTCATAAAGATTTCTACCTGGATGGCTACCAACAAAGTTACTCTCAATACTGACAAGACCTTCTACATGTTGTTTTGGAATAAGGCCAAAAAAAAACTCATTTTTACAAAAAATAAAAAACTCACAAATAGAAAGACGAGATGAGGGAAAAGTGTTAGGGATACACCTTGAGTGCAACCTGAAGTTCAGCACTTTCATCAAACACATACCTAAGAAAATTTCCAAAACTGTTGGCATTTTGTCAAAAATACACTGCTATGTTCACAAACAATATTACTCACCTAAAACCAATAGTTACCCAACAGAAATCAGTTGTTAGCATAATCATACAATCAGGTTCCAGACAACACCCCCTTCCCCTCCCCCACTATTCAAAAGCTTTAATTTACTCAACATACAATGCATCTACACCTACTATGTATATTACATATAGAGAACACTTAGAACAAACTTCAACCCAGCACTCCAACTCTTCCTGGAGGGTTGCAACAGAATTAGTAAATAGTATACCACATGTTTGACTCAACCTATCTAGGAACTCCAAAAAATAAAGTACCTTAAAATTTGGAACTCCTTTCCAGAAGATGCAAAAAAATTCTCCTTTTGCATCTCTGGTATTCTGTAAAGCAGTAGTCCCCAACCTTCTGGTATGGAATGGCCAATTTAAAAAACCAAATTTGAAGGAGAGCCGTATTTTGTAATGATCAATATTGACATTATACTTATAGCATTATGACATGGTAAAATAATTATACTGAAAGTCATAATATGTAACACAGATAAATTACATACAGTGGACCCTCGAATTTAGTAGTGCCTTTTCTGTATGCAAAACTATTTTTATCTATAAAATGTATTGTTTGTTAATATTTTTGGGTGTCTGGAATGGTTTAACCCTTTCAGGGTCCAAGGCCCAAATCTGGAGTCACGCACCAGTGTCCAAGAATTTAAAAAAAAAAAAATTTTTATTTTTTCTTATGAAATCGTAGAGAATCTTTTTGTGAAGGTAATAAAACAAAAAGTACGAAATTTGGTGGAAAATTGACGAAATTATGCTCTCGCGAATTTTGATGTGTCAGCGATATTTACGAATCGGCGATTTTGCCAACTTTGACTCCCATTTTAGGCCAATTACATTATTCCAGTCAACCAAATTCTTAGCTATTTCACTAGTATTACTTCTATTCTATCGATTGAGCACAAGAAATCGCCAAGTCAACTGTTTCAACTACAAAATAAAGTGATCGGAAATTGTTAATTTGGCCAATTTAACACAAAGTTCAAAATATTCCAATTTCAAAATAGGGTCCAGAATGAACAATGTAGGCATTCCTGGCACTAAACTAACATTTCCTCTGTTCATTAGTTATGTTTTGAGGCTTCACAAATAAATTCCATTTTGATTTTTTATTCACATAATGAATTTTTATTCACACCAAAAAATAGAAGATTTACTGTTATGCAATACTGTAATAATTGTATAAATATCATCACCATATTTGTGAATGTATATTAGACCCACCAGCTGGTGTGTATTAGACGTGTGAGGTCGTTTGTTTACTCTTGAATATCGGCAAAAATTTAACATTTCTGCTACTTTGAGCTCAGTTTCAAGCCATTTCCAGTGCTAAAAACCAATCAAAATCATCTCTATTTCTGTAATATGTCTTCCATTCTATCAAATGAGACCAAGAAATCGCAAATACAACTATAAAAAACATACGAAAAAAACACTGCAAAGTTGCTGTTTTAATCGAAAAATCATGATTTCATTTTTTTTCTCTCATTATACACAGTGTGCTGCAGGATCTGTTTTATGTGGTGCACACATACCACATAGATGTATTCTCTCATATCTAGGCCCAAATGTACCACTCATAGTTTATCAGAGTGAGCTGAGCTCATGGCGTAGATCTACGGTTTGGACCCTGAACGTAAAGCCGTAGATCTACGGGACGGACCCTGAAAGGGTTAATTGGATTTACATTATTTCCTATGGGAAATATAAACAAAACATACATTGGTGGAATGATGATGTAAAGAGAGTAGTAAGGGAGAAAAAGTTAGCATATGAGAAGTTTTTACAAAGTAGAAATGATGCAAGGAGGGAAGAGTATATGGAGAAAAAGAGAGAGGTTAAGAGAGTGGTGAAGCAATGTAAAAAGAGAGCAAATGAGAGAGTGGGTGAGATGTTATCAACAAATTTTGTTGAAAATAAGAAAGTTTTGGAGTGAGATTAACAAGTTAAGAAAGCCTAGAGAACAAATGGATTTGTCAGTTAAAAATAGGAGAAGAGAGTTATTAAATGGAGAGTTAGAGGTATTGGGAAGATGGAGGGAATATTTGAGGAATTGTTAAATGTTGATGAAGATAGGGAAGCTGTGATTTCGTGTATAGGGCAAGGAGGAATAACATCTTGTAGGAGTGAGGAAGAGCCAGTTGTGAGTGTGGGGAAGTTCGTGAGGCAGTAGGTAAAATGAAAGGGGGCAAGGCAGCCGGGATTGATGGGATAAAAATAGAAATGTTAAAAGCAGGTGGGGATATAGTTTTGGAGTGGTTGGTGCAATTATTTAATAAATGTATGGAAGAGGGTAAGGTCCCTGGGGGATTGGCAGAGAGTTGCTTAGTTCCTTTGTAAAAAGGCAAAGGGTTTAAAAAAAGAGAGTGAAAAAATTTATAGGGGGGAAAAGTCTGTTGGTTACCGGGTAAAGTGTATGGTGGGTTATTATTGAAAAAATTTAAAGGTAAGACGGAGAAAGGATAGCAGATAAAACAAGGAGGTTTAGAAAGGTAGGGGGTGTGTGGACATTTTTCAGTAAAACTTTAAAAGAAAATTTTGATAGGCCCAAAGGGTTTTTGTGGCATTTTGGATTTGGAAAAGGCTATGACGGGGTGGTAGGGGGGAAATGGGAGTGGTTTCGGGTGTTGGTGTAGAAGGTAGGTTACTGAAAGCGTGAAGAGTTTTTACAGGTAGTGGGCTAAGTTAGAGTATGTAGGAAAGAGGGAAATTATTTCCCAGTAAAAGTAGGCCTTAGACAAGGATGTGTTATGTCACCGTGGTTGTTTAATATATTTATAGATGGGGTTGTAAGAGAAGTAAATGCGAGGGTCTTGGCAAGAGGCATGGAGTTAAAAGATAAAGAATCACACAAAGTGGGAGTTGCCCACAGTTGCTCTTTGCTGATGACACTGTGCTCTTGGGAGATTCTGAAGAGAAGTTCCCAGAGATTGGTGGATGAATTTGGTAGGGTGTGCAAAAGAAGGAAAATTAAAAGTGAATACAGGAAAGAGTAAGGTTATGAGGATAACAAAAAGTTAGGTGATGAAAGATTGGCTATCAGATTGGAGGGAAGAGAGTATGGAGGAGGTAAATGTATTCAGATATTTGGGAGTGGACGTGTCAGGGGATGGGTCTATGAAAGATGAGGTGAATCATAGAATTGATGAGGGGAAAAGGGTGAGTGGTGCACTTAGGAGTCTGTGGGGACAAAGAACTTTGTCCTTGGAGGCAAAGAGGGGAATGTATGAGTAGTATGTTTTACCAACGCTCTTATATGGGTGTGAAGCATGGGTGACGAATGTTGCAGCGAGGTGGAGATGTCATGTCTGAGGGCAATGTGTGGTGTGAATATAATGCAGAGAATTCGTAGTTTGGAAGTTAGGAGGAGGTTTTGGGATTACCAAAACTGTTGTCCAGAGGGCTGAGGAAGGGTTGTTGAGGTGTTTGGACATGTAGAGAGAATGGAGCGAAACAGAATGACTTCAAGAGTGTATCAGTCTGTAGTGGAAGGAAGGCGGGGTAGGGGTCGACCTAGGAAAGGTTGGAGGGAGGGGGTAAAGGAGGTTTTGTGTGCGAGGGGCTTGGACTTCCAGCAGGCATGCGTGAGCGTGTTTGATAGGAGTGAATGGAGAC